CCAAGAATCAAAAATGGACCCCATCAGGGAAAACCAGATGGACTCCCTCTAGTTTGGGGAGCAGATCAGTATTTGCAGGGATGGGTGGGGCAGGGAAGGGCAGACAGTAGGGATTGCCAAGGGGCACAAGGAAACTTATGGGGGTGATGGATCCGTACGTTCACTATCTTGATTGTGGTGATGGTTTCACAGGGGTATACATATGTCAAAACCCAGCCAGTTGTACATTTTGAATAGGTGCGATTAACTACAAAACAATTATACCTCAATAACGTAAACTCATAGCTATGAGTTGGAATCAACTTGATGGCAATGGGGTTTTTTTTAAAATGTTGTGAATCCACAGAAGACCTTTGTTTCCTGCATGAATGTTCCCCAGGTTGCGGAAAAGGATGAAATCAGCTCCAGATACCATAACAAAAAAAAAAAAAAAAAAACAATCAAACCCAAACTTGTTGCTGTTGAGTCATTTCCAACTTACAGCGACACTGTAGGACAGAGCAGAACTGCCTTGTAGGGTTTCCAAGGAGCGGCTGGTGGATTTCAACCGCCAACCTTTGGGTTAGCAGCTCAGTTCTTAACAGGGTTTTTCTTTTGGTGTTATCAGTTAACCCTTCTGTACTCATGGGTACCTCTAGGGACCAAGTCCTTTTTCAGCCTCTGAAGATTTGTTGGGAAGCTGCTGCGCCCTGACAGTGCGTGCTGCCCGCAAGGCAGGAGCCTTATGACTGTTTGAAACCAAAGAAATGGGTGTGTGCTGCAAATTACTGTTTTTATGGGGTATTGTATGAGGTGTCTGAATTTTTGGTAGGAAAAATAGAAAGTTGAAGATTTTTGTTTACACATACGTACCAATAGACCCTGGTGGATACTCTGGGGTATAATTAGTAGTATTTCATAGGTACCACTAAACATTTAGGGTAGGCTTGTGGGAGGGGGCAAGAAAAAAAATCCATACTACCTACCAAAAATTTCAGACACACTCAATGATTCAGCATGCTTCCATTAATGAAAACACATGGTATCAACAAAAAATCCAAAGCAGAAAATAATTGGTTCAGGAAAGGGTTATGTTAATGAGGTCATACCAGAGTAGGGTGGGTCCTAATCCTCATCCTTCTGAGTGGTGTCTCATAAAGGGGAGAACAGACACGAACACAGAGTCACACACAGGGGAAGGCATCACGTGACAATCTGCAGGCAGCAAAGGGATGCCAAGGACTGCCGGGAGCCACCAGAAGCTAGGAGGGAGGCCTAGAACAGGACCTCTCTCAGGACCCTCAGAAGGAATCCACATGGCTGATACCCTAACTTGGACTTCTGGTGGTGACATAATAAACGTCTGTTGTTTAAAGCTACCCTGACTGCCTTTCTCTGTGAGCCTGTTCAATGAGGGCACGGAGCACTTAGCAGAATCCTCGCATCCGCACCAACCTCTAAGCCGACTCTCTTAGTTTAAACCATCAGAAAAGCTCCTCTCTCCTAGAGGGCCCATTTCCAGACCGACAGTTTTACCCTGTCCTTATTTGTCTGCAGCCAAAGTACATGAGAACATTCACATTTCACAGTTACTTCACTCATGATGATTCACCAGGCAGATACCACCACAGCATTTAAATGGCTTCTTGAAAAGTGTCCGAAGGTACGAAGGTCAAATGGTCCAAACGCCCAGATGCACCAGAGCTCTTGGCGTGAGGGTGGAAAGCAGGCAAGACTTTTCCCTGTAGTCTAAACATTTACATTCTTGTTGTCCAACCAAAAGCAAGTGTGGGCCCTCATTCCAGTTCCCCACAAAGCAGCGGGAAGCCCAATTTGGAGGCACTTTTGAAATAAAATCACAAGTATCTTTTCCAACACTCACTGATTTTTATTCCATGTAATACCCATTCAGCTCACGTTGCATACCTGTTACTGGGACTAAAAGGAAACGATACTCATAATAGCGTTGTAGCAAACATCTAACGAAGAGCTAAATTAGGCCTCCACCACCCGCCACCTGTCTGTCAGTCTGTCGTACTGTGGAGACTGTGTGTTGCTGTGATGCTGGAAGCTATGCCACTGGTATTCAAACACCAGCAGGGTCACCCATGGTGGACGGGTTTCCGTGGAGCTTCTAGACTAAGACAGACTAGGAAGAAAGGCCTGGTGATCTACTTCTGAAAATCAGTCAACTGAAACCCTATAGCTCACAACAGAACATTGTCCAATATAGTGCTGGAAAATGAGCCCCGAGGTTGGAAGGCACTCAAAATACACAGCGGCCGCGACAGTGGACTTGAGCACACAAACGATCATGAAGACAGCACAGGACCGGGCAGTGTTTTGCTCTGCTGTACACAGGGTCGCCATGAGTCAATGGACAATGTTTCAATGCCATGGATCTCAGCGAGTATCTGGGACACGGAGGCTTTTCAGGGCACTCCCAAACTCAGACTGCTAGTCAACCTCGGGGGGCAGGTCCCAAGATGAAAAAAGGCACTTACATTAAAAATAAGTTCCCCACGTAGCGCAAATGGTTTGCACTTGACTGCTAACATAAAGGTTGGTGGTTTGATCCAACCCCGTGGTGCCACGGAAAAAAGGCCTGGCGATCCGCTGCCGTAAAGATTACAGCCAGGAAAACCCTATGAAGCACAGCTCTACTCTGTAACACATGGGGTTGCCATGAGTCAGAGTCAGCTCGATGGCAAGTAGCAACAACAATATTAAAAGTAGATTTAGCTTATAAATGAAAACAAGTAGAGTTAAATTATCTTTGGGAGACCCAACTCTTCTTTACCAAAGCTGGTTACTGCTTGGCCCTATGGGAACGCCATCGTTCACTTACTGGAGCCACAGAAACGAACACTGGAGAGCACCAACTTGGCCTCTTTTGGGTTTGCATTGTGTAGCAATTGTTTTCCCAATCCTGATCAGGCCGCACGAGGCAGTAGCCCGAGCTCGTGGCCTCCTGCCAGTGTCACCTGCCCTGAATCTGTCTGCTCCTCAGAAAAATGCAAATTCCCAATGATCTCACCGCGGATTTCGAAGACATGTTCGTAATGCTTAGTATTCTATGGGAAAAATCGAAAATGTCGATACTTCGACTTGCTCAAGGTGAGGCTGGAGTGGACTGTGGTACAGACCCTGAATCCCCACCCCTATCCATGAGGCTGGCCCTCTGCAAGGCACTAGGGCCCTCCCTGGGCCATTGCGTCACAGCTCACACGCAGGGACCTCTTACAGGAGGTCCTTTCATTAGAATGACAATAGTCATGTAGCCCGCACTTTCTAAGTGCAGGGACTGTTCTTGGCACAGAGACTACAAAGGCAGACATGACATTCAGTTTCAGGGTTACCGACAAGAAGGCAACTATAGGACAAGGGGATAGAGACCCATGGAAAGAGGTTAAGCGTGAAGAGCAAATTACAAGGACTCTAGAATTTTCTACAGTTGACAACTGTGCGAAATCATTTTATATACATCTCACTTCTGGAGGCGCCTTAGTGATTGGCGTTCTCAGCAGCATCCTTAGAAGGAACCCTGTATGTTGTACCTTATTCTTAGAAGTCCTGACGGACGTTGTCTTTGAACCTGGGAAAGGGCTGGCTTGGCCATGGTCCCACACTCTTGGGGGAACCCATGGGTGGCCTCCATGGTGTTGACCACCTGCCTGCCCTCAGGCAGCCTGAAGGACAAAGCCTCGAGCCCAGCTCTCCCCTGGGAGTGGAGAGGGATCTGAGGAGGTAGGGAGCAGACCAAGTGAGCTGAGTGCCAAAGGGCAGAGCACGAGGCACAGCGTGGGTGGACCAGGACAGGGCTGGCCACAGCTTTCGCCCAGGTAAGTTCCCTAAGCCAGCAGTGATGTGACAGCTGAAGGGGCCCCTGGCTCCGTGGGGTTGAGGGTGAAGAGTGACTGGATTGTGTCATCGCGGGGAGAAGAGGGGCCAGGCTTGCTGCCACAGTCATGGGGTATCAGGCCTGCGGTGACCACCTTTCTCCCGCCTGAGTTTTTCTCAGAGTGGATAATATTTAAGGAGCAATTTCCTGATACTCTCATCTAGAAAAACATCTCCATTTTCAACCTACATTACACCTGAAAGCAAAAACATTCAAAGCAACCGACCCTCCAGTCTTTCAGGAACGTCATGGAAAGAGAGAGCCCAAGAGAGCTTCCCTGCAGGCACGCACCTTCTACTGCAGTGCGGGATGCAGCTCGGACGTCCGCCGGAGAGGGCGTTCCTTACCTATCTTGCTTCCCTCCTGACGGTCACAAGCAACAAGGGAGGCTGCTTGAAGGGGGTGCAGATACATTTGAAGTTTCAGGCACTGAGGGTGGGGAGCTGAGAGGCTGGGGAGCCTTCACTGGGGGGTGCTGGGAGGCAAGAGGCAGTGGGCCTGGGCTAGCAGGTGGGGCAGAGACCAAAGCCAGCAGGGTGGCAGTGGCAAACTGCCACTTGGCCATGTCTTGCCTGGAGCCCGCTCCTGCCAGGGACCAGAGCAAAAGAGTGCCTGTCTTGGGAGGAGAAAGGCAGAAAGGCCTTGTACCCACAGAAGGCTGGAGGTTTCAGGCACAAGGGCAAAGAGTGGACCACTGACGGCTCTGTACGAGCCCCCTGCCTGTACGCTGATGCCGCCTCAGGCACACGGGCCAGGCAGGTGGTGGATGTAGTCCAGGAGCACATTTGCCCACGTCTGTGTCCAGATCATTTCTTGGTTGATTTCACGATCAAACCACAACCTCCACTTATAGGCTTCTTCTACCTGAAAACGCTAACTCCTCCCAGAACTCAAGGTCACCGGACCCGCACACAGTATAACTCCGATGACAAATTAGGTCACACACGTGCACACACACACGCACACACACACACACTTGTGTGTACACGCACACCTGTGCATGCACACATGCACTTGTGCCCACACTATAGTACCCTGCCATCCGGCTTGCTGAAGAGTCTTCGTTGCAATTGCTGGGCCTCAGTTGTATCATTAAAGGCAGAGGCCCCTCGTCTTGGACCTAGCGCTCCCGGTCTGAGGCGGAGTCATTAGTGGAGGATAGCACAGCTTGGCATTTGGAGTCTTCTTGATGCTTATCATTCTGAGGATGAGGCTCTACCGTGCGCCTTTTTGGGGCAGGGGAGGCCCCAGTGCTTTGAGCGACACCTTTGCTGCCACTGCTACCCTCGAAAGGCTCCAGCCCACTGTGGGTGTTCTGGCGGTGGCTGCGTTTTGAATTCCCCTTGACGGGCTCCCGGCTGTGGTAGACGCGCTGGTGGTTCTCGAGGCTGGAGCGCCTGTGGAAGGCCTTTCTGCACTCCTCACACTTGTAGGGCCGCTCGGCTTGGTGGACTTGCTGATGATGTTCCAGAAGGGCCAACCTGTGCCGGAACGCCTTCCCACAATCTTGACACTTATGAGGTCCTTGGCCCTTGTGCACAGCCTGATGTTTGAAAAGGTTAGAGCGCCGGCCAAAGGCCTTCCCACATTCACTGCACTTATAGGGCCGCTCTCCACTGTGGGCCCTGCGGTGCTGGCTCAGCCCCGAGAGGCCCCGGAAGGCCTTGCCACACTCCTGACACTCGAAGGGCCGCTCGCCACTGTGCACGTGCTGGTGGTGGATGAGCTGGGACACGCCCTTGAAGGCCTTGCTGCACTGGCTGCATACGTAGGGCTTGTCACCGCGGTGTGTGCGCTGGTGCTCAATGAGGTTAGAGCTCCGGCTGAAGGCCTTGCCGCACTCATCACACTCATAGGGTCGCTCACCGCTGTGGATGCGCTGATGCTCCAGGAGTGTGAAGCTGCGCCGGAAGAGTTTCCCACACTCAGAGCAGGCAAAGGGCTTCTCGTCACTGTGGACAATTTGGTGTTTGACGAGGTTGGAGCTCCTAGTGAAGGTCTTCCCGCACTTGCTGCAGGCATAGGGCTTTTCTCCACTATGGATGCGCTCGTGCTCAAGGAGCGCAACGCTGCGCCGGAAGAGTTTTCCACACTCAGAGCAGGCAAAGGGCTTCTCAGTGCTGTGGATGATCTGGTGCTTGATGAGATTGGAGTTCCGGCTGAAAGAATTCCCACACTGCTGGCATACATGCCGTTTGTCTCTGCCTTTTGAATGCTTTTGTCTGGAGACCGGAGCTGGCCTAGAGCTGCCGCGGTTATTTCTCTGCACAGTGGCCTCTCTTGTGGCTGCTCTCCGCTGCTGAGTGAGGTTTGAGCGTCCCTCATTCTCAGAGCTGCCTTGGCCTTTCTCCCTGTGACGGTCACTTCTCCTGGGACGTGACCTCAGAGAACGCATGTGTTTCTGCTTAGGTTGAAGTGTTTTCTCCTGCAGTCTTCTCAGCTGACCCTCACTGCCACCCTGAAGACCAGCCCCAGGGAGTTCTTTTCTAGAATGTTGCTGCTTTGAAATCGATGTCATGCTCCTGTCACCTGTAAAGACAGTGAACACCAACCAATGTCACCCCCTCCCTGGGTCTCTATTCAGAGTCTTGTTCTCCATCTTCACTCTCACACCAGGTGAGGGTGGTAAGTGGCTGAGGAGAGATGAACCAGGAAATGAAGACATGGGGGAAGGAGCACGATGGTCACAGAGAAGAAAACTGTCAAGGAGGGCAGAGAAGACAGCGAAAGGGGAGGCAGTGGGAATGAGCTGGAAAGAATGGGGAGGGCAGGAAGACTGGGGACAGGAGGAGTTCTGGAAGATGTAACCATGAGGAGACAGCCAGAGGGAGGCTTCCCTTCACTTGGTACCTGGATGGGCACCTTGGAGGACTGAAACCTGCCACTGAATAGAACTCCCCACGTAGGTACCGCGCTCTCGTCTTTCAGTGTGACTCACCTCCAGAAATGCCTCCAGTCTCCATTCTGTCGGTGTTTGTTACCCAGGGTGCCTCCCCTCGCTCTAGCTGAGACACCAGGTGTGGCTTGGAAAATGAAAACCCTGTTTACGGGAAAGAATAAGGTCAGGACCGCTCTGGTTAAGGACAGAATTCCACCGGAACACAGGCCAGCCTTAGTCTCTTCAGGTAATAGAGGAGAAAGAACTCTCAGAAAGTGCCACCAGGCAAGTCCCTCAAAGAAAGCAAAGGATTCCTGAGAATACAGGGGCTGGGTGGGCACAGGGACTCTTAAGTGGGCAATGGTTTGGGCAGAGAGGACAGTGACGTTGTTATGAGACCTGCAAGGAGGAGGAAGCTTATGAGAAGTGGGCATCTGTGTTGACACCCCAAAGCAAAGAAGGCTGGAGAGTATCAGGGCACTGACAGCTATCCACCTCTGGTCAGAACCTGGGGGCTCCCTGTGCCCTGAAAGCTGAAGGACCCTGTCTTGTCATCAAGTGGAGCATGGGGGTCTCTGTTTCTTATACCAAACTCAACAGAAGATTCCAGAACTCCTCCAGAGTGTCCTAGTGGGCGGAGCCCGGCTCGCTCGGGATTTTACAGCCAGGTTGGCACGAGGACAATGTCCAGAGAGAGGAATGCATGACTGAGGTGGGGGCACATGCCTGGGAGACAGGGTTACTTTTCTCTTTAGCACCTACTACTCACCAGCTGCAGGAGGTGGGCCAAGTCCCTTAAGCTCTCTGAGCTTCGTTGCCCCGCCTGAAAATGCTACCTATTGCTTGAGTTTCTCAGTGTCTGCCCCGCCTGCCCCCGTGCTTCTGGCCCCGTCCTGCCCAGCCTCCAGTTCCTGAGCCTGGTCTCTGCTGTTTAATGGCCCCTTTCACCTTGTCATAAAGACGGGAGCCTGGTCCGTGTCAGGAGAGGGAAGGGAGAGCAGCTGCCTGGCTCCTTCGTGAATTTCTCCAGGCTTGAAAACCAAGGGCTCGAAGCAAGAAAAACCTGAAGCTAAGCTCTATAACATGATATGAATGTAAGATGTAACTTTGTAAAAATGAATTAAGACTCAAATACTGCATATAAATATTCGAGTATAATTTGCATCTATTTTTGGGTACAAAGACATTTAGTCAGCCAATGGTTTATGGGTTGAACTGTGTCTCCCAAAAAGATCTGTTGAAGTCCTAACCCCTGCACCTGTGAACGTGACCCTGTTTGAAGCTGTTATCAGTTAGGTCAACATGAGGTCCTACTGGAGTAAGGTGGGTCCTAATCCCATCTGAGTGGTGTCCTTTTAAAAGAGAAGGGACACATAGAGCCATACAGAGGAAGGATGGCCGTGTGAAGATACATCTACATACCAAGGAACACCAGGGGCTACCAGGAGCCGGGAGAGACAAGGCAGGATCCTCCCCTGGAGACTTCCGAGGGAGTGTGGTCCCACCAACACCTTGAATTCAGACTCCTAGCCTCCAGAACTGTCAGAGAACACATTTCTATTCCTCTGTCTACTTTGGGGCTTTGTTATGGCAGCCCTAGGAAACCAAACGTATGGAAATAAGTTTGATGGGAGTAATAACACTGAACTTGACATGCCCACACATCTACTAAGCATTTACCAAACAAGTGTCCAGTTGAGACAAAGGCTGGCCTACAAGGCATTGCTGGTCTGATGGAGGAGGGTTCATAGTAACCAACCAACGAGGAAACTCAGAAATAGATTGTGGGTGCAGAGCCAGAGTGGGGCGGGCCTGGTGTGTGTGTGTGTCCCTTACCCAGAGACACCAAATGGCTGTAGTTCTCCAGCATCACCCGCTTGTAGAAGATCCTTTGTCTGAGGTCCAGGAGCTTCCATTCCGTCTTCGTGAAGTACACAGCCACGTCCTCAAAAGACACTGGCACCTACAATAAGCCATTCAGTGGCCACAGGGAAATTAGCTCTGGGGGTCCCAGGATGCGCAGACAGCAAGCAAACGTGGCAGTGGGGGCTCAGCAGGCAGGGAAACAAGCAGCACTCTCTCAAAGAAAGGGGAGCTGATGGAAGTCAGGAAATCGAGTTTCTGGAAACAACACTAAGGGCACCGAGCTCGCCCCCAGTGGGATAGGCAGAGTCTGGGAGGCAGCAGATGGAGACTGCTAAGGAGGAGTGCTGGGGGAGGCAGGGCGCCACCCAGAGGCAGGGAGCGCACTTACCTTGGGTCTGGCCGCCATGGTCAGGGCACGGAGGAGCTGAGGAAAGTGAGAAGGACGGGGCGTGAGAAGAGGCCAGCCTAGAGCAGCCGCTCGGTTTCACAAACTGCTGTTTAGTTTTTCTTGTCAAACGGTCCAAAGAAAAGTAGTGCTTTGGTGACAGAGTAAGAAGGAGCGGGAGCAAATGTTTGTGGAACATGTGTGCATGCAAGTGTGGTGTGTGTGTGAATGTGTGTGTGTGTGTATGTGTATGCTTGGTGTAGATGTGTGCATAAGGATCTGTGCGGGGACGTGTGTGGATGTGTGCATAAGGATGTGTGCGGGGATATGTGTGAATGTGTGTTTAGGGATGTGTGTGTAGATGTGTGTGTGGAGGTATACGTGTGTGGAGGCCTGGCGAGGGGGCCTGTGTGGAGGGAGTGTCTTTTTCCAGAGAGGCCCAAGGGTTCAGCACCCCGGGACATTCCACTGAGCACATGTCTGCCCACAATTTCTTCTCCAGGAGAGTCAATTGGCTCTTATGCTCCTGCAGCTTCACCAAGGGCTCTGGCCATACTTTCCCAGACCAAGTTTCTGTCCTCTCTTCTCACCTGCATCACTGGCAAGTTGAGCCAGTGTTATGGGTTGAATTGTGTCCCCCGAAAAGACATGTTGAAGTCCTGACCCCTGAACCTATGAATGTGACCTCGTTTGGAAATAGGGTCTTTGTAGATGTTATCAGGTGCCATGAAGCCATACCGGAGTAGGGTCCTGATCCCTTCTGAGTTGTGTGCTTATAAACGAAGAGAAGAGACAGAGAGACAGAGAGATGCACAGGGAGAAGACACCGTGTAAAGATACAAGTAGTCCCTGACTTACGACGTATTTGAGTTACCACAAACCGCACTTACAACCGTCTGGTTTGTTTTGTATATCTAATCGTTAGTAATCTGTACTACACACAATGTTGCAGCGTGTAACCTGCTGATGTTGTCATTCCCAAATGTTCACTCACCGATGTTCAAAGATTGGATTAGTAAAGATACTGATAATGGAAGGCAATAATAATAAAAACTAAGAATAAAGAAGAGGTATTTGACTTACGTGAGAAACAATTTCTGATGGAGTCATCAAAATGGAACCCAGTTATAAGTCGGGGACTACCTGTACATCTACAAGCAGCACTGAAACACCAAGGACTGTGGGAAACACCCGGAAGAGAGGACGGAGGCCCGGCACGCTGTCTCTGTCAGAACCTGAGACAGAACGGGTACACTGTCTCTCTCAGAACCTCAGAGGGGACGGGCAACTGTCTCTATCAGAACCTCAGGGGGGACGGGCACGCTGTCTCTCTCAGAACCTCAGAGGGGACAGGCACGCTGTCTCTCTCAGAACCTCAGAAGGGACGGCACGCTGTCTCTCTCAGAACCTCAGAGGGAACGGGCAATTGTCTCTCTCAAAACCTCAGGGGGGACGGGCACGCTGTCTCTCTCAGAACCTCTGAGGGGACGGGCACGCTGTCTCTCTCAGAACCTCAGACGGAAAGGGCATGCTGTCTCTCTCAGAACCTCAGGGGGGATGGGCACGCTGTCTCTCACAGAACCTCAGAGGGGACGGGCACTCTGTCTTTCTCAGAACCTCAGAGGGGACGGGCAACTGTCTCTCTCAGATCCTCAGAGGGAACGGGCACGCTGTCTCTCTCAGAACCTCAGATGG